GGGCTGTAGCAAGACACACCCATTTCTGTGACTGAGCGCCTCAGCACCCAGCTGGGGAATGTAACTCAGTCACCGGTAARGTTGGCCTCCCACAATGCCTGATTTCTGTGGCATCTTAATGTAGAATTTGAAAAGGTAAAGTTTGAAGTTTTCACTAATTCCAGTTTATCAAATACATAAATTTGGACTTTTAAGGTCATACAGCTTATATTCTTTTTAAGAAACCATTACCTAGTAAAAGGTCTGGGAGACTTCTGCATATGCTTGCATTTTAAACTTTGTGGACTTAAGTTTTACATTAAGGTCTTCTAAGTCTATTTTGAGTCCATTTTTTTGATTTGTTTATTATATTTCCATTTATATATCTAGTAGATATTGCACCACATTTTGATAAAATATCTTACTTTATCTAGCTAGGCATTTGCCGAAATTATTGATCTGTTCCAAGTTTTAGCTTTTAGTTTTTTAAAATTTATAATTTCCATCATTTATCTGTATTCTAGTTTGACATTTTCTGTTTTGCTTTCTTTATTTCCTGTCTCTTATATGTTTTGCATTCACTTTTCTCTTTATTTATGAATTTTTAATGTGAACTCTTAGGGAATTTATTTTAGGTATTTCATATGTTTTTAACAAGTCATGTAAAACTCACCTGTCCTGCTGAACTTTGCTTTATTTGTGTTTAGCAAATTATGATGTGCTGCATTCTTGTTATCACATGTGTCCCTTTACAGTCACTCTTATCAACTGACCTTTTTATTATTAACGTCATTATATATTGCATCCACATCCATCCACAATCTAACTGAAAATAATAATAACACTAGTTTCACATAGTTATGAAGATTTTTAAAAACTGGAGAGAAAAATTTTTTGTATTTATTCATTTAAATACCATTTCTTTTGCTTTTCCATTTTCCTTGAAAACCTAAATTTTCTATTAACCCCCCAAAATTTCTTTATTTCTTGTACAGCAGATTTCCTTGGAATAAAGTGAATTAGATTTTTTTTTCATGTAGAAAGATCAACTCCTGAACCATTTTATTTATGAAATTTTTGTTGGTAAGAGTTCTGGGTTGACATTTCTTTAGATTTGTTTTCACATTCTTGTAAGTTTTTTTTTCTAAGAGAAATCTA